TGTGTGTGTGTGTGTGTGTGTTTGTGTGTGTACACGTGTGTACTTGTTTTTGTTGCCTTTTTAGGACCGTTTCTGGTATACACACCTACCTTGTTAGGACCAGTAGTCCTAATGGGGACCAGAGACCGGTCCTAAATATGGTCGAACTCCATTTTTGGGTCAGGGGTTGGGTTTAGGACCAAGGTGTGAATTGAGTTTAGGTTAGTTTTATGGTAAATGATCAGGGTTAGGCTGTATAAATTACTGGAAATGAATGAAAGTCAATGAATGGTCCTAATAAGGATGGAAATACAAACTGTGTGTGTGCTAACCAAAATGACTCTGAGAAGCAACTGTTGCTGTCCATCAATCTGGGAGGGGTCAAAGGTCGTTTAGAGTCTATACTGTTCTACAGGGTGACTGACAAGTTTTTCCAGAAGTGGACGTTCCAGCAGATTCACCCCGAAGGTCAGACTATGTAATACTCAAAATGAGTCCCATTTCAGACTGTATAGACCTCAGTTAGCAGGTCAAAGGTTATTAGAAACAGACTGAACAGGTAGGKCTTGTTTTGATGGGTTGCAGAGTAAAAACATGTCACAAAAACAACATGAATTTAGTTAGTTTCTTCTGGACCTGAAGAGTTCTGGAACCAGTCTGTTGACCCATAACGCACAGCACCACTTTATCCCAGCCGTCAGCACGGTGGTGGAGGGCTGATGGTTTGGGCTCCTCGCAGTCGATGTGTGGACCATGAACTCCTCTGGAGACCAAAGAGTCCAAATGTGAGTCCATCTGAAGTCTGGACCAAACTGGGTCCAACGRGACCCTGATCCCAAACACAACAGAACCATTCCTGTTGTCGGATTTCTCAGTGCTGAGTAAAGCTGACTTTGCTCAGCTTCACCTTTAATATTGAACGAACAAAATCCAGTACGACTCTGTCAGCGCAGCTCACTTCCTGCTCATTGAATTTGTTCATTTTACCAAAACACAATACACCCCCCACCTGTCTGCAGGTGGACATGTCCCAGCTCGTTCAGGTAGAAGCAGGAACAAAATGGAACAATATCTGCCTGAAGGGATAATATTTCATTTTCCGTCTACAGCTGAGCTGTTTTTATTTATGGCACTGAAGTGTGTTCAGATAATCTCAGTGTGGACTTCTGTTTGTTTGAACCGTGTAGCGAATTAAAGCAGGTCTGTTTGGGATTTAATCCATGAATGAATGGATGTAGATTGTTTTTGTTGCACATCAGTAGCAACAGTACTTCCTTGTTGCACAGTAYTGAAAAGGGAAGTTACTTGGTTTAGAAAAACAATGAGATGTTTAATGCAGCAAGTTATTTTTCTGTTTAAAGTAATGTCCTCAAAGTTTAAGCTTTTATTTTGAAAACTTAGAGGTTCATTATGAAGCTCAATCTTAAAGGGCCGATAATGTGTTTCTCAGGCATATATTTAAAAACTATACCATAATAAAGTATCTATGTCACCTTCAGCTGTTATTAAAATGTTGTTTTTATGTTTCAATAGAAAATAAACGTATCTTCTCATCACTTCCTCTTCTAAACGCCTTGAAATTGGCCTCTGTCTCTTTAAGAACCACCCTCGCTTCTGTCTTGCCCATTTCAGTGCGGGGGGCGGGGGGGTGCGATCGCGGGGGCTGCCATGATGCAGTTGGCATCTGAAAATACATTTCCTCAAAGGTATTTTTGAGGAAGTATTCGCTCTGCCATGAGGAAGTTCGGCTTAAAGACACATCCCAGGGGTGTTTCTGGTCCCCACCTGTCATTTTGCTCCTCAGCATGGCTTCCTAAAAACGCTGCAGGATTTCTCAAACATGCATGAATGAGTCAAAGCAAGACTTTGGGCATGTTTTTTATCAGAGTATAACATTACAACATGATATAAAACTCAAAAAAAGTTGATTTTACATGATATTGCCCCTTTGAAATCCAACAAAAGAAGTGGTGATGGCTGCAATCTGGGCTGGATTTTTGGACTTCAAAGCAAATTAAACACAGATTMATGTCAATAATTATGGAAGTAAAGCTTAGTACCGGTAAATATAATAAAGTTTAAATTTTGACACTGTAGCTGTTTTTTTTTTTTCCTTCTCCCTCAGGAATCCTGGTGGACCGCACCGGACAGTTTTTCTACGTCTTCGTCGCCTGCAGCGTCGTCGTCGCCTCGTCCGCCGTCTTCCTCATGCTGTCCTTCCTCTGGCTGGATAAAACGGAGGCGGCAAAGAGCGGCCAGCTCCCTGCTCAGCCCGACCCGAGGAGGCCCGTGACCCACGCCTCCCCCGGTTGCCGGTACCGCAGCGTCCCCACAGACGGAGACAGGGACAAGGCTTCGCCCAACGGGTCCGAGTACATCACCAGCGTCTGAACCTGATCACCGTGCGTCACCGACACTTTGGCTCAAATGACTCACAAAGTTAGCAGCATTCGGCTARCTTTTATTTTGAAAAGCTTACACGGTTTGACCAAAGTTATTTACCAAAACGAACAGATGTGCACTTAAAGCAACGATGTGATTGTACTGTTTATCTGCTGCTGACACACAGGAGTCACCATTATCTCTAAATAACATCTTAAAATATCTCAAGCTCTTTGCTAGACATTTGCTGCAATCATCACTTTTATTTCTTTTTATTTTTTATTTTTGTGCTTATGAAGCACTTTTTAAAAAAGCAGGAACTGGATCTGACAGAGATGTCAGTAATGAAAYTTTAAGGATGAGAATCAAACAGCTTCTGGTTCTCCTCCAAGTCTTAAAATATGTCCATTAAATGGAAAAGTGTAGCTTTTGTTGATGTTTTTGCACAAACCCTTGAGTCAAAACCTGTACGTAAAGAAATTTAAACCAAAACAAAAAAGAATTTTAAGTTATTTATTTAAAAAAACAGTAATTATTTTAACTTTATCAGAGTTGATGAACATTTAAAGCCTCCCTGAAGCACAAATTATAATAYTACTACCACTGTGTTTTAACACCTGCATGAGAAAAGATTCACTTTTTATCTGCACTCAGATCAGATTAGAGATTTGTCAGATTATGTCGGCAAATGTTCAGATTAGATTGGCCGACTGATGAATACCTGAAACAAGGTGACTAAAAATAAAGCATATCAAACATTTATGGGCAGAATCTTTTCAATAAAACATTTTTATTTAAAAACTGAGTAAAATGTTTGTTTTAATGAATTAAAAGCTCCTCAGTGGTTTGGTTAAATCAGTTTTCATTTTCTCCGCTCGTCTCCTCAGGGTTTGTTTGATCGTTTTGCTTTTAGGTTTTTTTTTTTCTAACAAAGTTTTAAAATGAACTTCAGTTTATTTACATTTTGTTGACAGCAACACATTGGGAGGGAAGCTCCACTAAACGTCAATAAAAACTCAAAACCTATCGATCCTCTAAAGGTCTTTTTTTTGTTTTTTAGGGAAAAAGATAACAAAAAATGTGTTTATACTTTATTTATGGGAGAACTGAAGCCAAACTCAAACTACAAACATAGAAAATCAGAATTTGTAAAAAGTGATTCCAAAATAAAAGCTCTTAATTGCTCCAATATCAAGTGCAGAGTATCAGAGAGCCATCTCACTTTTTAAAACTAAATGTTAAATTAAACAGACGTCAACTTTAATCCAAAGTTGAGTTATTTATCCTCATGCCTGTATTTCAAGCCTCAACCTGCTGCAGAACAGAAAACTGAAGCTTCCACGCTTTGAAACGAGTATTTTTCACTCGTCTGTCAATACAAGTAAGATGAATTTATAAAATCTTTTTTTTCATTTATTCATTTAATTTAAAAAAGCAAAACAAATTCACATACAAAAAATACAAATCAACTATTAAACTTTAGCTGTTTGATGTTCAAATTAAAGCTTTAAACATGGCTCCTWCATATATAGTTCTGTTAAAAAAGGATCATTGAACCTTAGAAACCATTTGATTTTCACTCAAACTTGAAAAAAATTATTAAAAAGTTGGAATATTTCAGCAGCTGGGTGTTCGTTGTAGAAACAATTATTTTTAGAGACAGATCTTGTTGGGTTCATGTTTTTGTCCTTTTTTTTTTTTTGCATCAGATTTATCAAACATCTGAAAATAATCACCAACCCTTACAGATCAGGGTGGAGAAATGAAGCCTTGAACTTTTCCTGCACATCAATTTTATTTTATTATCAGAAACTTCAGATTCCTGAAGGCCCAATCAACTTATGTTCCAGATTAAAATATCATTACAAACTGTTTATTTGGTTTTTACCTCCTCAGAGCAGTGCCTTTTCCCCTAGCTGGTGTATTTCTAACRGATGACTCACCACCTCTCAATTTTTCTGACCTTATTCCATCTCTACCTGTGTAATGTTTTGAAACAATCACTGGCATGTCTCTATAAGCAGATTAAGTGATGAAAGATTTTCATCTCTTCTTCGGCTACTTTTCAGGTATCGGCTGCTTGCGGTGTTAAAGATAATTTTATTTCTCAGCAGAGGAGGTATTTGCACACTCAGATGCTGTTCTTGCTGTAAGCTAATTATATCTTTATAATAAATTATGATAGAGGGAAATAAATGTTGGAATATTAAAATGATTGTGTTTGAGTGGATTTGTTCTACTCAGTTTTGCAGTTTGTCAAAAGAATGAAAATAAATTCTGTATTTCTCCTTTCAGTGTATGTGTGCTGTATTTATTTTAATTTTTTTAATCTGGTATTTCTGCAGTTTGTAAATGAATTCAGTGGCCTGTCAGCATAAAAGTCGACAGATGAGTCTCAAGTGATTACTAAAACTTTTGTAGTAAAGATAAAATTGAAAAAGTTTCTCTTTTATAGTCAAAGTGATTAAAACACTTGGATAAATAAAGATAAACACGTTTGTAGACATGATAAGTGTTGACTAATGACTGTAGAGTCATAATAAAAAACATTTTTACTTTATGAATCTGTTAAATGTTTGTCTTAAAGAATATTTCAGGGTCATTAAAATGTCAGAGTGATGCTGACACTTTCAGTAAAACACAAAACCAATGGAGTAAATGACCAAGGTTCAGGGTTAATTGTATTATTTTAAGGTGAATACTGCTCAGCTAAATGGCAGACAACAAAACTAAATATCTATTAGAAATTATTTTTGAACAATGTGATGGATCAAACTGTCAAGGTGTGTCTTAAATATGTTCCACCTAATTTAAAACAGTTTCAGGTTATTAATATAATTTGATTTTATTTCATATATTGCCTATATATTTTAAGATATTAAAATTGTTACAATGTACCCAAATGATAAAACTAACATAAAATTGATATTTTTATTAATTTTTTTATTCTTATTTTTAATGTTTGTTGGCGCTTTTGTTTTTAAAARTTAACCGGAAGTTCGCCTTTGTAGCGGTTCTTGTGCACCGACGCCATCTTGTGGCCAGTCTGTGAAACGCCTGAAGACTTCTGCCATCTAATTCTGCTGCTAAAATATTATTATTTTTTCTTTATATGAATATAATTCTACATAAATGAAGACAAAATTTATTAAACTGTTTTTTATGACCTCGTTTCGAGTTTTTAACAAATTCGAGCCTGGTCTAAATCGGCCGAAAGTGAAACTGAAAGTTAGCCACGAAGCAGTTAGCGACAAGCTAGTGAGCTAGCAGTGACCTGTCCTGTGGAAACAAGAGGAGGCGGAATAAAGGTAAATTATCCGATCAGTGTTTGATCATGCATTAGCAGTTTACTATATATGAAGTTTGTCCAGGTGAATGTTAAACAGTAAACAATCTAATAAACGGGTTTTAATGTAAGAATGCTAAAAATGACAAACTTTGTTTTTATTTTTTTACAGGAGTCAGCTCAAAGATTTGATCTAATTAGTGCTGAAAACTGTTTGTTTCTGCAGGAAGGATGTTGGAGATAGAAATATACCCAAAGCTACTAAGAAACGTGTTTAAGCTCCTTTTTGTCTAAAAGAAAATCAAAGTGTTTCACACAGAAACCTTTGGGAAATGTGTGAATTCTGAATAACCCAGTGGTTCCCAAACTTTTCAGCTTTTGACCCACAAAATACCAGCAGCAGAGACCTGTGCCCTCAGCTGTTGTCAGTTGATAAACATTGTTTTCACGTCAAATAATCAAGAGCATGTAACATTATTTATTGTGCTATTTTTGTCTATTAAAATACGCTAATTTTATTATTTTGCAACAACAAAGGCAAAAAAAGTGCTTAGTTTTCTTTTATTTCTTTTTTTTTTTGTGTGTAATTAATTCAGAAATTATTTTCAGGACCCCACTGTGGCTCCCGACCCCAACTTTTGGAACCACTGTGCTAATCTAAACCTCTAAAGAGCTATTTATATTAAAAGATAAAAACAGATGTAGACTAAATGTTATTTGTTGTTCCAGGATCAGTGTTTTGAAGCTGAACCATCCTCCAGAGGAAAATGAAAGAAGTSATAATCTACGGATTATTCATCCTCTTCCTGGATGTGCTTCTGTGTTCGGCTCGGTGGGCCGGGCTGCTGCTGCTGGGCTGCTCCAGCTGTGGTGGTCTTACAGAACTGTGGCTCTTCGGACTGATGAAGGGGGTTTTCCTCCATGTTTGCGCCTCTGCTCTGACAGACGGAAAGCTCCGGACTGTGCTGTGCAGGTTTTCAGCTCTCCTCTGCCTTCTCCCTCCTGTGTTTGAAACCGGACGGATCCTTCATGCGCCTCCATCTGAGCCTGACTCAGGACCTTCCCCAAACCTCAGCTTRCTCTTTCTGGGCGCAGCGTCCTCGTCACTGGCCTGTGGAATTTGGGAAAATTTGCTCAGCGGAGATAAAAACAAGGAAAACGTCAAACTGGACACTAAACGAATTCTCATGAGGGTGCTGACGTATTTCAAACCAGACTCGCTTTATCTGATCGCAGCTTTCAGTTTCCTCATTTTAGGAGTTTTTTGTAAGTTTGAAATACTGATATTCTACTTTATCTGACATTTGGTACCAGTTACTGTTATTCTATAACAAATATAAAACTTTAAGCAAATATTTATTCTTCCTAACAGGTGATACATACATCCCTTTGTGTCAGGGGAAAGTTATTGATATTCTCAGTGGTCAAGAACTTCAAACTGGTTTTGGTTATGCAGTCGGGCAGCTGGTGCTGATTTCAATTGGAAGGTAGTGAAACAAAGCTGTTTGCATTTTAAATAAAACATATTTAATTGCTCATTTACTGTCTATATCTAAACAAGAAATTTTCCCTGCATCCTGACAGTGCGCTGTTCTCTGGGATGCGAGGAGGAATCTTCATGTGTTCACTGGCCAGACTGAACAAGAGGCTGAAGCATCTGTTGTTTCACAGCCTCCTGCAGCAGGAGGTGCACTTCTTTGAGGAGAACAATCCAGGTGAGAGCATTTATAAGTTTCCTGTTAATATATAAGGAATATGTGGGTCACCATTGGAAATAAGTTGGGTCGCAGGTTACAAGTAGCTGTTTTGTAACCAACAATATAAACTATTTAGCCAAWAAGAAATAATTTTTGAAAGACACTTATCAGAGTAAAAAGAAAAGAGCTAACAGGTTTGCCGCACTTCTTATCCTAACACCACAGTCGTTTTTTTCTCAATTTTCTTCAACTAACAAAGTAATGTCCTGTAAATGTAGAGTTATCAGGGTTCATGCAGGGTCATAAAAAACACCTAAAATTTGAAAATCAAAATTTTAGGCCTAAGAAAGTCTTTAAAATGCACAGATTTTCATCCAAGGTCTTAAATTTAATTTTTTTTCGAGTCTTAATTCTTTTACTTTCAATCATTCCCAAGAACCGTTGGCTGCATAAATAAACAGAGTAAAGCGCYGTAATCAGAGGTTGATGCAGTCTTCTGTCATCATTAAGAGCTAAGTTTGCTACCGCTCTCTTTGTACGTTTTAAACCTCAAGTCCTGTGATAACTGCAGGCAAAAAATGGCACAGTTTACTTCCATATTTTCATCCTTATGCCACTACAACCCATCGCGTATGGCGGTTTGTTCACCTGCCAAAAAAACACAGAGTTCAGTCACGTCCAGTGCTTGTAGTTTAAACATGGGAAAGTTTGTTTTTAATGAGACTATATGAAGGTCTCATGGAAATAATCATTTCATTAAAATTATTTAGTGTTCTTGTATTAAAATTAAGTATTCTTTAATAGCTAAACTGATAGCAATAAAAGGTTTCTATGTTAAAATTTCTGGGACAATTTGAATGTTTCTGTTAATGCGTCGGTTTGGTCTTAAATGTCATTCCTAATGGTCTTAAAAGGTCTTAAATTTAACTTTCTGAAACTTGCATGAACCCTGTTTATAATGTTTTTCATGTGGATATACAGTGGGGAAAATAAGTATTTAGTCAGTCACCAATTGTGCAAGTTCTCCCACTTAAAAAGATGAGAGAGGCCTGTAATTGACATCATAGGTAGACCTCAACTATGAGAGACAAAATGTGAAAAACAATTTGAGAAAATCATTTTGTCTGACTTTTAAAGAATTTTTTTGCAAATAATGGTGGAAAATAAGTATTTGGTCAATAACAAAAGTTCATCTCAATACTTTGTTGAATATCCTTTGTTGGCAATGRCAGAGGTCAAACGTTTTCTGTAAGTCTTCACAAGGTTGGCACACACTGTTGCTGGTATGTTGGCCCATTCCTCCATGCAGATCTCCTCTAGAGCAGTGATGTTTTGGGGCTGTCGGCGGGCAACACGGACTTTCAACTCCCTCCAAAGGTTTTCGATGGGGTTGAGATCGGGAGACTGGCTAGGCCACTCCAGGACTTTGAAATGTTTCTTACGAAGCCACTCCTTTGTTGCCCTGGCAGTGTGCTTGGGATCATTGTCATGCTGAAAGACCCAGCCACGTTTCATCTTCATTGCCCTTGCTGATGGAAGGAGGTTTGCACCCAAAATCTCACAATACATGGCCCCATTCATTCTTTCATGTACACGGACCAGTCGTCCTGGTCCCTTTGCAGAGAAACAGCCCCAAAGCATGATGTTGCCACCCCCATGCTTCACAGTTGGTATGGTGTTCTTTGGATGCAACTCCACATTCACTTTCCTCCAAACACAACGAGTTGTGTTTTTACCAAATAGTTCTACTTTGGTTTCATCTGACCATATGACATTCTCCCAATACTCTTCTGGAACATCCAAATGCTCTCTAGCAAACTTCAGACGTGCCTGGATATGGACTGGCTTAAGCAGGGGGACACRTCTGGCACTGTAAGATCTGAGTCCCTGGCGTCGTAGTGTGTTGCTGATGGTAGCCTTTGTAACATTGGTCCCAGCTTTCTGCAGGTCATTCACTAGATCCCCCCTTGTGSTTCTGGGATTTTTCCTCACCGTTCTTGTGATCATTTTGACCCCACGGGCTGAGATCTTGCTTGGAGCCCCAGATCGAGGGAGATTAGTAGTGGTCTTGTATGTCTTCCATTTTCTGATTATCGCTCCCACAGTAGATTTCTTCACACCAAGCTGCTTGCCTATTGCAGATTCAGTCTTCCCAGCCTGGTGCAGGTCTACAATTCGGTTTCTGGTGTCCTCCGACAGCTCTTTCGTCTTCACCATAGTGGAGTTTGGAGTGTGACTGTTTGAGGTTGTGGGCAGGTGTCTTTTATACTGTTAACGACTTCAAACAGGTGCCATTAATACAGGTAATGAGTGGGGGAAAGAGGAGCCTCTTAAAAAGAAGTTACAGGTCTGTGACAGCCAGAAATATTGCTTGTTTGTAGGTGACCAAATACTTATTTTCCACCATTATTTGCAAAAAAATTCTTTAAAAGTCAGACAAAATGATTTTCTCAAATTTTATTTCACATTTTGTCTCTCATAGTTGAGGTCTACCTATGATGTCAATTACAGGCCTCTCTCATCTTTTTAAGTGGGAGAACTTGCACAATTGGTGACTGACTAAATACTTATTTTCCCCACTGTAAACTCACCTTCGTATATTTGAACATTTCCTGAAAAAATAGTTACATCTCTGTCTCTGCAACATTTAAATGTTGCTTCATAAAAGTAAGAGTTGGTTGTCTTCTTACAGGAAAGCTTTCGTCCCGTCTGCACAGTGACGTTGACAGGATGGGCCGCACCGTAGCGCTCAACGCCAACGCCACGGTCCGCAGCGCGGTTAAAACCATCCTCATGCTGAGAGTGATGTTAGGTCTGTCGTGGGAGCTCACGCTGCTCACCTGCATAGAAATGCCTCTCCTGGCAGTGATGCAGAATAAATACATCAGCTTGTACAAGGTGGGTGTGAAGAGAGGAGGCCCGGAAGGCCAGCAGTCAGAAACCGACGGGAGTGATGTTTCCTCCTGCTTCTTGTTTCAGGAGCTGAAAGAACAGACTCAGGAATGTCACGCTCAGAACAAAGACCTGGCCTCTCAGACGGTCAGCGGGATTCGAACGGTCCGCAGCTTCCGCGCAGAGAAAGACGAACTGAGGAGGTATGACGTGGCTCTGGACGAGCTGTGCGCCATCAAGAGGCGTTCAGGGATCTACAGCGCCGTCCATCTGTTAATACGAMGGGTACGACGTATTGTCTGTCCAGATTACACAGATTAATCACAGTGTTAATAAGCCCTTTCTTTGCTCGTACATCCAGATGGTTTCTCTGGTTATAAAGACGATCATGTTGATTCAAGCTCGCAGTCTCATCTCCTCCGGTCAGCTCAGCATCGGGAGTCTGGTCTCTTTTTTCTTGTACCAGAAGCCCATGTCAGTCAATTTAAAAGTAAGCCGTCATGAATATTTTACACGTTGGAGATGTAATTCATATGAAAAGTTTTTTTTTTTTTTTGATGGAGGATTTATTTTTCACCACAGGAGATTATGTATTGCTACGGAGAGACGGTGTCCACAGTTGGAGTCATTTCCAAAGTGCTGAGTTATCTCGACCGGACACCGAAGTGTCAGAAGGAGGGAGACCTGGCTCCTGAGAGCCTGGAGGGCAGAATCGTTTTTCAGAACGTCACTTTTAGTTACCCTTCTTCAGACAAACCAGCGTTGAAGGTAACACTTTAATACACAGTTTCTGTCCTAAACATTGGCTGTTGAACATAAATAGGTGATTTTTTTTCCCCACTTGACGTTTCCTCCTCAGTCCGTGTCGTTGGAGCTGCAGCCGGGGAGGATCACAGCTCTGGTGGGTCCCTCCGGCGGTGGAAAGACTTCCTGCGTCAGCCTCCTGAAGAGGCTTTATGAGCCTCAGGAGGGTCAGATCCTGCTGGATGGAGCGCTGCTGCACCACTACAAACACAAATACTTCCATCAGAAGGTATGCTTTACTGCGTCATTGAAGGGATCCACGATTAGTTGTAACATTAGACTTTATTTGATAAACATATATTTTGCGTGTAAAATAATCAGTAAAAATACTGTAGGATGTTCAATTTTGTAAATTTTTTAAAGTATATTTTAATTAACTCAGCCTGTAACTGAAAATATAGATGGAGGACCTCAGTTTAGCTTGTTAGTTTGTCATGCTAGTGCCTAGCTAATACTGTACATAGAAGGCAATACAGCATCAGCGCTAATGCTAAAGCTAACAGGCATCTGAGGTTGTTCCATGAAAGCAGCTCTGTTGTTCTCCATCCATATTTTCAGTTACAGGCTGAGTCATTTCTACCTTCTCCTCTCTGTCAACGCTCTCTGGTTTCATTTAAAAGAGTCGATCGTCAGATATTGTCCAAGACTAACCTTCAGGGTGGATATAGCTCGCTAGCAGCCTCGCACCGAGGACCTATCCACATCATCATTTACCCAGAATGCTTTGTGTGTAAATAAAATGGCTCAGTCCGTGTTAAAATATAATTTTAAAAATTGAGTTTAAAAATTATAAAAACTAAACAGCCTACAGCCTTACAGTCTTTATTTTACAGTTAAACCCAGAACTCTGGGTCTGAAGTTGAATTGGACCTGAGGCTCACTCGAAGGCATCCCAGAAGGATAAAACTTTCAGTTTTGACAACGAATGTCAGGACTAATTTAAATGACTTCAACTTTGTTTTTGTTGTRCAGGTAGCGCTGGTTTCCCAGAATCCTGAGCTGTTTTCTGGTTCTCTGAGGTCCAACATTGAATACGGTCTGAAGGACTGCACTATTGAGAAGGTGGAAGAGGTTGCAAAGAAGATCGGCGCTCATGATTTCATATCAGAAATGGAGAACAAATACGACACCGGTACAGGACAGAGTCTGTTTGGATTCATAAACTTGAAGATATTTCAGTACTGAAAGAACACATTTTAAATGTCCTCACATGTAGAGAAACTAAATTCTTATTTTTATTTAATTTTTTTACAGATATAGGCGAGCGTGGAGGCAAACTGTCAGAGGGACAGAAGCAGAGCGTCGCTGCAATCCGAGCTCTGATTCAAGACCCGCGGGTCATCATTCTGGACGAGGCTACGAGTAAACTGGACGTCGATGCAGAGCAGGCGGTGAGTTAAAAACACAAACCTAACAAAGAGAGACTCCTGGAGCAGCTGAGAGCAAACACACCAGTGGTTTGACAAAACAATTTATGAATCTTTTTATTTTACTTTCAACTGGCCCAAAACAACCAAAGAGTTTGACCAGTTTGAGTTCTCTGTCTTCTTTATTTTGTCCTTGGAGGAGCTGAGAAAGCAGAGAAACACCCCAGAAGGAGCTCAGACATCGTGTTTCTTAATTTAGATCTGAAAATAGCTTCTTGGGAGGATGACAGAACCTGCAGCTGCTACTCATGGTTTCATTTTCCTCGACAAGCAGGCTTAAAAAAAGAGCATAATAATAACACAGTCTGAGGAAACTGTATTTATCAGTAAACTTGYCGTAATAAAGGCAAATAACCAACATCAGACGATTATTTTAATCCAGAAAATGTGCAGAAAGTGGAGTCTATCCGATATAATTACATCTAGAGTGAAAAATCATTAATCACAAGTTTGAACAAGAGAAATAATCCCACAAAAATCCCATGTCAACCCCAGACCTTCACGTCTGTTTGATGATCCGGCTGCATCATTTCTCAGGTGCTGAGGGAGGTTCTGGCCCACGGGCGGACGGTTCTGGTGGTGGCCCATCAGCTCAGGATCGTGGAGAAGGCCGATCACATCGTCTTCCTGGAGGACGGGTCGGTCCAGGAGGAGGGAACTCACGAAGAGCTGATAGAACGCAAAGGAAGATACCATCGTCTGAAGGAGGAGCTGTTCTCTGAAAACCCCTGAAGGTTTTCTGTTTGTAAATATTTATCCCGACTGGATTCTTTCCTCAACTTGTTCAGATGTTTTTACTGCAGGTTGGTTTTGTACGAGCGCTTCAAATTGAAGACAGGAACTCTGCTGACATGATGAGTTAGTGTTTTAACAAAGCTTTGTTTTTAATGAATTTTAAATTCTACTTAATGTGAGATGTTTCTGATTTTTTATTTTTTCGCCATCAGGAATCTTTTGCCTACATRAAAGGATAMATTTAAAGCAATATRTKTACAYACACTAAAACAAACTTTACTTTTTATTTAAGTTGCAGAAAATGAAGCAAAACATCAAATCATTTTCCAAAAAAAGAAAGAAATATGAATTTATATATTCCCAATATGTRCTCCTTATTCAGAAACTGCCAGTCAGTTTTCTTAAGTGTTCTCCCAGCTCTGTCCACCTGCTGCTCCAACTGATGCTGAGGAGCTTAGTTCTTGGCTCCACTCCTCCTGTCAGACTGTACTGGATACTGTGGCTCCTTTAAAAACCAAACAGCCTAGAACTAAACCTAAACCATGGTTTAACGAAAGGACTCGAGCTGTCAGACAAGAATGTCGCAGAGCGGAACGGAAGTGGAGAAAAGACAAGCTGCAGGTGCACCTTCAGATGTTTAGAGACTGCTGGCGTAATTACCAGGACACAGTAAAAATGTCCAAAAAKGAACACTTCTCTAWCGTAATTCTGTCTCASMSMCAMMMCCSSYGTKYTCTYTAMTACTATTGACTCTTTCCTTAACTCTCCTCACACTGCTGGTTTAGAAGCATCTGTTCAGCTTTGTAATAATTTTATGCAGTTTTKTATTGATAAGGTTACCTCCATACARGCCTCCATTTTACACCCAGACTCTGAYCCCTCTGTGTGTAAGCCCTGCTCTGTGGTTTTTAATCAGTTTGAACCAGTGTCTCTGTCTCTGTTAGAGGATATGGTTGCCCAGATTAAGCCCTCTGGTTCTCCATGTGACACCCTTCCACCACATTTTTTTAAAATAAGTTTTCCCTTGTTTTAGGCACTTAGTTCTTGCCCTTTTTAACAGTAGTTTGTTATCTGGTGTAGTTCCTGCTAATTTTAAACATGCTGTGGTGCACCCCCTGTTAAAGAAGCCTGGTCTTGATCCCACTGTACTGGGGAATTATAGGTCCATCTCCAAGCTACCTTTACTGTCAAAAGTTTTGGAAAAAATTGTTTACATGCAGCTAAAATCCTTCCTAGACGAACATAATATCATGGATGTGTTTCAGTCAGGTTTCAAAAYTCTTCATAGCACTGAAACAGCCCTGCTGAGAGTTTATAATGATATTCGTTTGACATTTGACTCTGGTGATCATGTTATTCTTGTTTTACTGGACTTAACTGCTGCATTTGATACAGTAGACCACAGCATTTTGTTGATGCGTCTAGAGCACCAGGTAGGCATCAGTGGCACTGCCCTGGAGTGGTTAAGGTCCTACTGTATCTGGCAAACAGAACATTTTCAGTAAAAATTGCAGGATTTGAATCCTTTTCTGCTCCTCTGTCATGTGGGGTTCCCCAGGGTTCAATTTTRGGGCCTTTGCTTTTTTCTTTGTACATCCTGCCTTTGGCTTCAGTTTTTAGAAAACACGGCATCTCCTTCCATTGCTACGCTGATGACTGCCAAATCTACAGTATATACCTCTAAGGCGAGTTCATTAAATCTCTTTTAGCATATCTCGATAATCTTAAAGCCAGGATGGCCCTAAAT